TTAGGAAGAATCGCTGTTATCCCTTTCATCCAACAATAGCTGGAATCATGTAGTATTTTGCCTCTTTAGATGTAAAGAGTGCATCTTGTTGTGTTTAACATTACCAGCTCAAGTATTGTAATACCACGTGTATCCAATACGCCACTCTTTACCGATGTGCCCCGGATGATTTGTCGCCTTTGCTCTCACCAGAATATGCAGAATTCACCAGGCCAGCAGCGTGAGTTTGGGGACGGACAGAGGGAGCGACAGAAAAACTCTTCCCCCACAGCCTTGGAGGAGGACAACGTGATCCTGTGCTCCATCAAGAATCGAGGAATCCAGGGTCAGAAGTTACATTTGACTCATTAGCTGCAGGAAGAATTAGACTGTCAGAGCAAAAGAGAACAACGAGGCATCAAACTTCGCTACAGACTTCATAACAATGGTGCATTCAAGCTTATCTCTTCTGCTACATTTTCCATCAATATTATAGAGAAATCAGCCTGTTCTTCAGTAGACAGTTTTCTCTATCTTTACAGTGACCATTGCATCACATTGACTCTTTCTATTTGAGTGTTTATGTGTGTTTTCCTTCTCAGTGGATGAGGAGAACCTTCTCCAGCTGAGTGCAGCTACCATCAATGCTGAATGGCTTGTCGGCTCGGTGCTGGGTCAGTCCTGCCAGGGCCAATGCTCCTCAGGATCCTGCTCAGCCTGCAGAGCTACAGCCACAGACTGTAGCGAGCACAAGCAGTCAGCAGAGGGCAGCAACATACAAAAACCTAAGGTGGAGTTACAAGCAGATTTGCCAACTTACCGAAATTCCTGTGAATTGCCATTTTACTTTCACAGCCTGTCTAGCCTGACTGTTTTTAATTGACTAATTCACTTTGATCATAAAACACCTCAGTTAAAGAGATATGTTCATTAACATGTCCAAAAACAATACCTACATTTTTGTTGACTTGTGTACTTACATTATCCAAACTGTTTCCAACAGCGTTCAAACCCAGAGAAATCCACAGTTTCAATCAAGGTAACAGGAGGTTTCATTTAGGTCGTCTTTCAATTGCGTCTTATCCACTTTACCCCTCTGCTCCGCTTGATGAGTTGCTAACTAAGTATAAAGAAGGCAAAACACAATGCTAGCCTTAGGCTGTTGGCTGTTTTTCCTACCTCTGTTTGCACTTGTAACTCAAAATGAATCATGATTATTCCTTGCCATTTGCTGTGTAACGTGATTGTAATTTTAATACATTACCTCAGCCGTGAACATGAATCACGCGTTAGACGTGTCAGGTAGATTCTCATCTGCAATAGTGGTGAAGAGAACAACTCCCATGATTCCACACTGCTTCAGGCTTTATCAAACTAGGTCTTTTTTCATTATTTAGATTGAGAGACCCCTGGTGGCTGAAGTTACATTAAAAACACATTTCTGTTTTCATCGTCCCTAGGTATCAAACAAGCAGAGGAAGGAGCAGCAGAGGCAAGAGAAGAAGAAGCGTCAGGAGGAGAGGCATCGGCAAAAGTTTCTCCAGAGCAATGGAAGCCAGGACCAGAACCAGAACCTGTCGGAAGCTGTTACTTTAGTACCGGCTCTCAACACTCTCAGTATATAGACTGGAGCATGGCCAAAATTACCTACTGCTTCTCTAGCGATTGGTGGCTGACGCTGACGACAAAGTTTTGCACATAGTCAGAGTTGATTCAGTCACGGTGGATGACTTTTCCTCAAGAGAACCCTATAGTTTCTTTGCATACAGTATAATGGTGCCTGCAAACAGTGTGTGTGTGTGTGTGTGTGTGTGTGTGTGTGTGTGTGTGTGT